ACTGGATAAAGCTGATTACCGTATTTTGTGGTCCATAAGACGCACCGGACCATAGGACGCAGGGAGGTCCGGTGCGCCTTATGGAGCACTCGACAGATCGTAGCTTCTGTCACAGCTTCTGTGACAGAAGCTGCAGTTAGTGACCGCTGAGATAGGTGGCGCTGTGATTACAGCGCCACGGTCTCAGTAAACACACAGAGCAGACGAAGAACGTCCGTTCTTCGTCTGCTCTATGGTGATCTCGATCGCCGCCGCTGCTCGGTTTTAATACCAGTGATCTCCTTAGATCACTGCTATTAAACGAGCAGTGACTCCTACTACTGATATCGATCGCCGCCGCTGCTCGGTTTTAATACGAGTGATCTTATTAGATCACTCGTATTAAACGAGCAGTGGCTCCTACTACTCGCCCGGCGCCCGAAACTGCATGTCTCGGGCGTCGGGATTCGCTCCATAAGACGCAGGCACATTTTCCCCCTCCTTTTGGGGGGAAAAAAGTGCGTCTTATGGAGCGAAAAATACGGTACTTAGCGAGATGGACTGTGTTTTGTCGGATCGAGACACATGAGTTGCTCAGAAAACATCCAACTAGTATGTTTCAAAAAGAGTTGGTAAAGTTGATTAAACAGGGCAGGTCGATCGAACTGTTAAATAAAAAAGAAGCAAAATCTTTGGTTCCGTCACAGTGAGGTGATGTGATTCCAGTCATATATTACCTCCCCAATATACTTAAGAATCCAGTTAAACCAACGGGTCGCCCCATAGTAAACGACATAGGTTCAGTTACCAATAGGTTGGCACACTATGTAGACACCTTCCTCCAGCTGTTAATACAACAAGGTTATACATACCTTTTGGAGATACTAAACACCTCCTACAGGATTTAGAATCAGTTTATGTAGATTCAGATAGTTTTTTTAATTACTGCCGATGTGGCATCTTTATATACCATTATTGACCACATTGAAGCATTGGCTGCTACGAAATGGCTGCTGCAGAAGGATACATAGTTATGTTTTGAACAGAAGGAATTTATCCCGGAGTCCTTGCGCTTTAGTTTGTCACAGAACTATTTTTGGTTCAGGAATAATTTTTATAGACAAAGCACTGACGTCGCAATGGGAGCCAAATTAGCCCCGAGCGTTGCCAATGCTTTTATGCAGAAATGGGAAACTGAGATGATTTTGGATAGAAAACCTGACCAGTTGATATATTTTAAACGTTTGATTGACAATATTATCATGATTTGGAGGGGTGATAGGGCTGCTTTAGAAACCTTTTTACTGGTTTTGAATAATAATGATCAGAATATTATGCTTTCTTTCAATGTTCAACAGTATCAGATTCATTTCTTGGATCTGGAATTATTTATTGAAGATAAGAGTGTTCTCTAAAACGTTTTTTTATGGCCACTGGCAGGAATATTTACATTCCAGTGGTGAGTTGTCGTCATCCCACATGGTTGCATAACATACCGAGGGGCCAATTTATGCGAGTTAGGAGATAATAATGGTAATAGAACCAGGTATCAACAGTTGGCTTTTGATTTTGATTTCAATGTTCATGGAGAAGTGGAGAAGATTATTGCTGAACATTGGGATATTGTATTATTACATGATACATTCAAGAAATTGATACCTTCAAAACCAAAGCTTGTACAAGAAAGCTTGCTCCATTAAGGATATTGTAGCAAGGAGTGTGGTTGATCCACGAAGGAGTAATCCGACTTGCTTTTTCCGTTGCAGGCGGCTTCTTCTCATGTAGGCGTTCTCAGGCATGTAGACTTGCCCCGAATAATTTAAAATGGTGAAAACATATCCAAATTAATACCAGTAATGAAAGGGTTGCTATTAAACAATTCATATCCTGTGATACGGAAGGTGTAGTTTACGGGTTAGAATGCCCCTGTGGTCTTCAATATATTGGGCGCACCACTAGAAAACTGGACACCAGAATTAAGAACATATTTATAATATTAAAAAGGGTTACAAAGATCATTCAGTCTCTAAACACTTTCGAGATGTTCATCATAAAGATCCTGCAAAGTTACAGTTCTGGGGCATAGAAAAAATAGCTAAACATTGGAGGGGAGGTAATTGGCAGAGAGAATTGGCCAGAAAAGAATCACTCTGGATCTTCAAAGCGGGGTCTCTAAAACCATCTGGTCTAAATGTCGACTTCGGCCTCAATTGTTTTATTTCTAATGCTTGATTGTCATTGTGCTTAACTATGATTGCTGGTGTTATCGAGGGTTCTTTTATATGATCAGGATATTTTATATACATATTTTATTCCCATTTCATATTATTTACGTACCATATGTTTGTATTTAAACTTATTTTATATTACATGTTGAGATTTTGTTTTTTTCCCCCCTGCTTCTGAGCTTTCCTCTGTGCTGATGATCACTGCACCGACCTGATTTAGTCATTTTCTGTGCTTCTGTATACATAGCTGGTTGTGATGTGCCCCTCTATATTGGGTATTATGGTAAGAGGGGGTGGGTCCTTTTAAGCTTAAATAGAGATCTGGACGTCAGAGACTCCACATCCCTGATGAAGTCACGTGAGACGTAACGTGCGTAGGGTGGGGGGTAAGCTACTGACGTCATCTCATATGGTTAGGCCGGAAGGACGGGAACGTTTTTCTTGCTCTTATGCGCTCTTACTGGATTTCATATTGAGATTTCTGTTTTGCCCCTTTTTTATTTAAGACATTTGTCAAAAGTCGTACGATTTTCAGCAGACATGCGCAGATTATTAGAAACCAGAAGTGGATGCGGGAATACTGGACCACAGCCAAGCATCCTTCTGTTTACAAGCAGAGTGCCATGGACCACTGGAGGAAACCTGCAATTGCATGTGGAACGGGTCAAGAGATCATTTCCGTCGTTCGAATAAAATCGTATGAGAAAATGGAGGATCGTACGATCGAGATCTGTGCGTTGTGGGCCAGTTGATCGATGATCGTACAAAAAAAAACCGGACAATTATTGTAAGGTGTATGGGTACCTTAAGACATTGAAGACCTTTCGTTTTCATGCCCCTGGAATGTATTTACCTCATTTAAACAGAGTTCAGTTGGAATTTATTGTCTATGGAAAACTACCCTGTCCACAGGTTGGCAACGCTGCTATTGTGATCTTACTGCAGAATGAACAGCGTTCTTGTCCCATAGGAAAAAGTAGAGAGGTAACAGATGTTCCTGCATAATCAGTAAATAAAAAAATAACAGTTATTAGAAGGAGGGAGAATCCAAAAAACTAAAAAGTTTGAATTCTCTGGAGCCCCTCCACAGAATTTTGGCTGGATCCATTACTGAACCAAGGTTACACAATAACTGTGCAGCTTTATGTGTACAATGGTCACATGTCACTGTTTATTGTTCCCGTCTCCTTTTACAGTATAACTCTGACCCAGAAAAAGAGCTGACGCTGGGGGAAAATATAAAGTTGGTGAAGGTATCAGGTACAAAGTTTACTTATGCTTCGTTCACAATTTGGGATTCACTTTTATAATATTGTTCACTTTTTATTCCATTTCCTTTGAGAGATGTGGGTAGATTGGATGCATATTGCCGAGTATTAATAAGCAGTGCTAAGTTTGAAGTACTGCTTAGCTCATAATATAAGATCGCCCCATGCATTTGAAATCTCCACATGAATTGAATGTCGGGCTGATTCATTAATTAGACAGAGGCTGTGTGATCATTGGGCGGCATATATGGCCGTATAATAGCAAATCCCTTGTAATGCTGCGGTAGAGCCAATCACTCCAAGACAAGTCATAATCGAGAATTTTTCTCTGGTTGGTTTCCAGTCTTATACCCTACTCTTAGGGAAAGCAAGCCATGATTCTGATGAAGCGCACCAATCTTGGCTGACTGCGGCCGGTGGAGGGGGATGTGACCGGAGGCAACCATGTTACATTGTCTGTTAACCCAACATGGTATCACCCCAACTGTGTGGCCTCTTGTTTGTTGTTAAAGCGTGATAAAAACGTTTGCTTGTGAGTACTTTTATCCCTTGTTTTATTTATCTTAACAAACGATTTTACACACGGAGGTGGCGCTCTGTTCCCTTTTTTTTTTTTATATGTTCGTGGTGGAAGCCCCAGAGCCTTGGATGAGCAGCCCCTCAAGTCTGTGTGAAAAACTGTTGAAAACTTTGAGTATGCAACAGCAGGTGGATCGTTCAGCTGGCAGCCATTAGGATCGTTCAGCTGGCAGCCATTAGTGCCAACAGTTAAAGAAAACTGCTGTAGGAACCTATGTATTCTTGACGCAGGAATCCCAAATCTTCTATTGTGAATGAAGCCTTAAGGTGCCCATACACCTGCCGATTATCGGACGATCCCGCGATCGTACGATAATCGGCAGGTGTATGGGCAGCGTGCGACCACATCTACTGTACGGTCGCACGACTTTGTCTTCCTACCACGGTGTAAAACCTGCCGAAAATCGGACGATTGGTAGCGTGCTCGGAAGACGAAAGCCGCAAGCCCAACACTGCACGCTCAGCATTGCAATCATCGACAAGCCCTCCCCTCGGCGTGGAGGGCTTGCAATGATCGCAAGTACGATCTGCCTGTCCAAGATGGGCAGATGTACGAAATTTTAATGACCTTACAATCATCGCACAACGAAAGTCGTACGATGGTTGTAAGGTGTATGGGCAGCTTAATTCACTCTCTGGCCTTGAACATGGAAAGGAGAAAAACACATTATCTGTATGTAATGTAGTGATTTCAGCTCATGCTTTTATGAGAATAGTCTTTGTTTTAAGAAGACCATAGCTATTTGACACACTTATAAAATCTGTCCCCTTATTTCCATAGTGTAAGATATAACCAAACATAGGATGTGATTTACTATGCTTAAGTGGGAAGAAGTGCATTGAAGAAAATCAATAGCATATTTCTTCTCACTTAGGCCCAAAACAGAGATTGATCTTATCCCCGATCAGAAAAAGACGTATCAGTGTCCAGGAGAAATGCTCATTCTTCATTTCAGTTTTGGGAATTTCAGAGTGGTGTCACTCATCTGACGTTCATAATCTGCTTCAAACATCTCATTTTGCTGGGCGGTGAACAGCGTCTTCCAGTCTCCAACTTTACCTGCCAGTCCAGGAAGACAAGAAATTCAGAAAAAGTCAGCAACATTGTTATGTTTTCTCCAGCCTGTTCTATACTCCTGTAGAAAGTGAGGCCAGGCAATGCACCTAGGTCTACCTAATCCAGGTTCTAATCTTTATGCATAGCTGCACCCAGTTTACGATATCAACACAATATTCTAGGAAGAATTTCTTACTCCACCCACATCCCTAAGCAATACTGGAAGGGTTCAGTGGCTGCAAATTATTCCCATTCCCTTCTGGAACTCTCACCTACCCACTGACTGAATTCTACTATGTTCCCAACTAGTTCCCTTTGCTGCAAATATAAAGACCCAATATAGAATCAAAGAAGTGGGCCATGCTATACATGTTTTCAGCATTAACACAATATATTTTCCAGTGCAAGATTGTGAACGTTTACCATTTATGAAGAGCTGAAAGTACCCAGAAATGTGTTCAAACAGTACATAAGTGGCTGCTGGTGTCTGTGTTGGGCCTTGGCTGGACCCAAGTGCTTTTGGTGAATGTGTGTGATGCAGATTTAGAGCATGGATATCTCTACTGTTCACCTGCCTCATGATCACATGCAGTACCATTACAGAAACAGCAGCCATGGCAGTCTCCTATTCAGTATTCATTGTGAAATTAAATAAAATAAAAATTATGACTAGCAAAATGCTTACAGGGGACACCACTGGTGTCATCCATACAGAACTGTCCTTATAATGGTTAAAATAAATCAGGCTAGCATAGGGAAACAAAAACCCTGAGTCATGGCACCTGTCTTCTCAAACCAACAGTTTACCTTTTCTCATGAAGCTTTTCTCCGACTGATCAAGAATTTCCTTGGGGAAGTCAGAATTATTGGCCATGGGGTTATTCTTCATGTGTTCAAATGAGCTGAGTTTCGCAATTTTGAGTAGTAAATCTTCTGACAGCTCTTTACCAAGAAACTTTGCCACTTTCTGAATCTCCTGTGAGGGGTTCTGAGAGAGTAATCAGAATATGTGAAAGAAATGAACTATAATGTTGTACAAATACATCAGTATTGTCTGGAATAAGGATGATTTTACCATCAGCATGAGAAAGGATTCTTAGGTGTGAGTCATAATGGCCAAATCAATACAGTAAAAAAATTGCTCCATGGTTTTCCTTACAAGGAAAGTTGACCAGTTTTAAGGAATGGAGCATGAATAATGAACCACAGCAATGAGCCAAAAGCTTTTGTATGATCAGGAAGGGGTTTTATTGATTCCATTCTGTCCAAACTGCCCTTAGTTGCTCTGGAGGTTTGTTTTGCCAGATCTTGACCTCAGACGGCTGGGGTTTGTGAGGTTGAACCCGACAGACATTCATTTCAATGTCTTTACTTTGCAAATGAAGTAAAGAAAAAAACGAAAAAGGGATTTTTTTATGTTCTCACCTTTTTTTTATCTTCAAACAATATATATAAAATGTTTTCCTTCTCTCTTGCTGCCCAGAAACCTTTCACATGATCGTACCAGGAGCCCCAGCCCACTGTGCAGACAGAAAACAATAGTCACCAGCCAATACACACAGTTTACAAGTACAGATAAGCAAGACTTGCAAGATAAGCAAGATTTCTTTTATGGTATAACGTGGCAGAGAACCCGACAAATCTCTGAAAACTACCACACAGTCCTCACTACAGGATCCAATTCCCTGAGATACCATCATACCTATCCACACTATAGAATCCAATCTTACCTGCCACCATTTTTAGGTTTTCTCCACCCTGTTTTATACTCCTGTAAAAACTGAAAGTGAAGCAAGGCAATGAACATTGGGAACAGTCTACCTAACACCAGCTTCAATTCTTTATTTATAGCTACACCCAGCTTACCATAAGTACACAATGTTTTGTTTCTTACTCCACCCACATCCCTAAGCCATACATGAAGGGTCCAATGACTGCAAATTATTCCTATTCCCTTCTGGAACTCTCACCTACCCACTGGTTGAATTCTGCTATGTTCCCCACTACTTTTCTTTGCTGCAAATATAAAGCCCCAATATACAATTAGGGAAGTGGACACAAAGTACAGATAAGCAAGACTTTTATTATGATATAACACAACAGGGCACCCATCAAATCCCTGAATCCTACCACACAATCCTCACTACAGAATCCAATTCCCTGAATCACCATCACACCTATCCACACTATCTTAAAGTGGCCCTTGCAGTGCATCCTATAGATAGAAAATGACCTTGAAAGGTGCAGCCATTATGCAAATCATAATATTTAATAAGGGATTATTGTGGCAAATTATCAGTTTAGGATTTTTGTATTGCAGAAAAATTTAATACGGCTTTGCAGCTGCAACCTCACTGGAAAATCCTGTCAAACAGGATCGAGCCTCTTGTCGCTTTTTGCTTTCAATTGTTGTATATATGTACCTTGTCCCATAAAAGATTGTAAATAGTTTGCAGGATTTTACAATGAATGGCTCCTGAAATCAGGCATTTTATTACACACACAGTCATGTTTTTTAAACAGAAGAATTTTTCTGTAATTACCTAATAGGATTCACATACTTTTTGAGTCTACAAATCAGATCGTTTAAACTGCTGGTTCAACAGAGATACAGCAATGCAGTATGTTGTGTGTGTGGTCGTTTTAAGAGACCTAGCTGCAGGGTCATTTATTTGACGTTCTTTAATGCTCAGTATTTGTCTTTTTTTTTTTACATTCTTTTTATATCAACGCGTTATGCAGTGCGACATAACATATGCCAAATCTTACATAATACGCCATAAAACAAGCCCCAATCAGACTCCCCCCACCCCATAGATACATATAGGACTCCTACTTCACCATAACATATCCTCTCTCCAGTAAATCCCATCAAAATGAATATCTTACATCTTATGTCTTGTAAAATTGTGACATTTTCCCATCAAATGAGCTGAGGGTAAAAATTCAAACATAAGGAAGGTGAACTCCACACTCTCTCTGCACCCCTGCCAGGTTGTCTCTCCCGAGGGTTTTAGGATGTAGAAGAACCGTCATGCCCCTGTGAGGGTATCATTGTGACAGAAGGCTTTCCCTAGAGTGGTTGGCTATACCCCCAGCAAAACGCTGGACTCTATCCACCCCGACCATACTTTGTCGAACTTTATAGGGCACCCTCTGCAAGCGTATGCCGCTTTATGTAATGGCAGGGAGGCGTTGACTAACTGACTTTTCTGGCATAGAACAACAGCTAAATCAACAGAGTACGTGACGCCACTGAGGGAACAAGGTCATCTATGAGGCCCAATATACAAATTCTGCTAGTCATTGGAATTGGAGTATTTAGGATATTTGCCACCGCCACCCCCAGTCACCCCCTTCCAGTATTCCTGAATTCCTGAATTTTTGGACAACTCCATAAGACGTGGGTGAGGTCTGCCGGTTCGTATAGACACCGCCAGCAAGTAGTAGTGGCTGAGGAGCGCATCCTCGCGAGTCTGGCCGGTGTGTAATACGCCCTGTGGACTATTTTGTATTGGATTAGCCTGTCTCTTGCGCAGATCAGAGTGGTCATAGGACACAGTATTTATGTCTAACAGAGATTGCATTACTTCCCCTGACAATACCTTCATCTTCCATCCCAGGACAGTTCCATCTTGTTCAGCAATCATCTAATGTCAGCATCTACCTTCTGTGATAAGATGCCTACTATAGATGACACAGTCGTGTAAATCCCAATGTCTAGGGGTGGGGTGATTTCAGAAATTTGTTTGCCTGCCTGCAGAAGTAATGATAATCTCCCAGATGTTTTTATTTTCTTGGGATTTAAATGATAGTTACATATATTAATATTTCAGAAATGTAATCATGCAGGTTGCCAAGGTTAGATAGGCTGGCTTTAAATAAGATTACCTTTATTATGAAGACTGAAATGAAGGATAGATCGCACCACAGGAGCTATCCATACAGAAATCAGGAAAATCCTAAAAGGGTCACAAATATTGTCTAAGACCTCTTCATGTCACCAGCTGCCTGGGGTCCACAAATTTTACCCCTAATAATCTTAATGCAGTTTTTCCCCCTCACCATCTCCTTTCATAAACCGCTGCAGGTAGTCCTCGAACGGCTCAGGATCTGGGTGGATCAGCACAAGATGGTCAAAGTGGAAGAAGGAAGTCAAAGTATCTCTGGCATTGCGTGCCACGTAAATGACCTGCAAAGAAAATACTCTCACTTTTAGCCAATGTCATCTCTAGAGTGCATGATTCACAGACAGTCACATACCTTGCAGTTGTGTTTCCAGAATGATGGTGGAACCAGCTGGTAGGGCAGGTGGCTCTTCAGTACTCGTGGTGACGGCCTGGCATTCACCTCTTCAAACCCTTCAATGTAGATGTCAGAGATAGATAGGTCAAGCAGTAAAAAAACAAATCTGTCTCCCAAAAACACAAAATCTACCCTTACCAATACAGAGCAAAATTTAGCATCCTCAAACTGCCTCTGAATTTATCACGAAAATCTTCACATTAGTACAAGCAGCTTTTCTTTGTTAAGCTGATGTCACAGGGGCGATCATGATGTTGGGTACAACTTGCTAGTTTCAGGATCAAGATCTTACCAGTCTCTGTGAAATCGTTCTTGCTAGTTAAACCGTCGCATTGTCATCCCCTCATTATTGGGAGATACTGCAGCAATCGGGGTCAGCGAGAGAGCATTTTCATAGAGGTAAGCAGAAAGCTCTCCTGCACTGTGTGTTACCAGCAGCACAGTTGTGTCAAGGGATAGTGATCTATTCCAAGCCACATCTAATCGTATCACACACAATTACATGCTAAGGGCCTGCAGACTTCCAATTTCAAACGCAGCCGCTGTCACCCAATCATTATCTTGAATGGGTGACAGCGGCTGCTTCAAAACTGCATATATGGGATTCCTGCTACAGGAATTCAAAGGTTGCTGTTGCAGGGATCCCAAAACGCACATTTACAATTAGTGTGAATGAACCCTTAGTCTTGAAATCTGTACGCAGTGATCACGTGACACATGCAGACCCAGAATGGTCACATTGTGACCCCCTGACAGAAGACATAAGGCTCAATTCACTAAGCTGCAATAAATGGTATCTGCTATACCATCCATTGTTTTTTTTAGTAATGATGACCAGTGACACCTGTAAATAAGTCCTAGCTGAAAATAAAAATCATTGTTTACATACATCACATACATATGGTTTTGTAAAATGAACCTACATCTGTAAAATTATAAAGATGTCTAACAGCTTATGTGGGGACCATAAAGTGTCAAGATCACCAAGAGACCATTTACCAGTGTCTATGGAATCGCTCTCTCGCATGCCAGGTGAGCAAGATGTAATTCTTTCGTTAGCAAGGGAGATTCTGCCACATTCGGGGCTAGCGAGTCCACAGAAATAAGTAGAAGGCTCTCCTATGTGATTCTGCCACTGGCAATGTTGTCAATGGCACAGCTACCCATGTGACATCAGCCTTAGGTGTACGTTTAATAAACCGTGATAAAACTAGCTTTATCACGAGTTAACTTAGTCAGCAGATCTCTTTGTTTTTCTCGGCTGTACAGAGGCTGTTTAATAACCTGCGGAAAGAAAACTTATCACACGAAACAGCTGTGAAAGGCTGAGATAAGTTGTCACAAGTGATAAGTAGAGAAAGCAATGCGGGGAATGTATTCTGAGCTGCACAATGACATCCTTTGTGATAATCTACAATCCTCCTGACAGGATCATAGTTTACTCTGCCAAACCACCCAATAACAATATTACAAAGCACCTCTATAGCAAAGTGCAACAGTTATTTCTCTGTTAAAATGATGAAAATTGCTAAAAAGCAGGATTTACATGTTCTGATTTGTTCAGCATGTACCAGTACAAAAGCATGAATCAAACTACCAAACTCACCGAAAAGGTGCTCTGCAAATGAAATCCCAATGTATTTAACCACTTGAAGTCCGCGGTGTTACACCCCCTCCCCATCCAGGCCATGTTTCAGTATTCTGCGCTGCAGTAGTTTGACTGACATTTTTTCCATCATGCAACGCTGCACTGAAATACATTTTATACCATTTTTTGGGGACAGATAGAGCTTTCTTTTGGTTATATTTAATCACCACTGGTGTTTTTATTCTTTTACAATATTAACCACTTCACGGCCGGCCGTTGTACATAAACGGCCGGCCGGGAGTTTTCTGGATATAACAGGCCGTGTATACACGGGCTGTTAGCCCCGCCCACCGAGCGCGAACGGGAAATGCCATCAATTTAAAAACAGGCAGCGATGCCCGTTAACATACAAGCGATCCGCCGGCTTTAGAGCCGGCGGATTGCTTGTATAAGCTGCCGGCCCCTGTCCCCCCATCCCTCCGCGCCCCCCTCCAGTTGTCACGCTGGTCCCGGGCTCCGCTGTGCCCGGTGTGAGCCCGGGACCAGCATAGTGCTTCTTTGACAGGGGATCAGAGGGAGGTCGGTACACGATCTCCCTCCGCTCCCCTCTCCGGTGTCAGAATGCGGAAGTGATGTATATTACATCACTTCCGCTGTCTCGTGTCACTCTCCAGCTTCAGACGCTGGAGAGAAGCAGATGAATCAGCTTCTTCAGGGGGGTCCTAGGTGACATTAGGGGTCTTGGAGACCCCTGATGTCTCCATAAAGAGGACCTGTCACTTCTTTTGCTATCACATAAGGGGGTTTCTTAGCCCCCCTATGTGATAGCAATAAAGTTAAGTGGGGAAAAAAAAGAGGAAAAAAAATTAGTTTCCCCCAAAAAATTAAAAGTTACACATAAAAAAGAATTTAAAAAAACAAAATTTTTTTTTAAAGTCCCCACCCATACATACACACATGCAAACATGCGTCAGGTGCGCATGCCTGCGTAAACGACGATTGTGCCCATTACACCGCACATGATACATATCGCCGCGAACGTCGCAGTGAGAGCAATAGTTCTAGGGCCATCAATCACTGATAACACTAAACTGATGAGCTGTAAAAGCTTTTAAAGCGTTGCCTATGGTCAAATTTGAGTGTGGTAGTTTTGCGCGATTTCGCCGGTGCATGCAATTTTTAAGCATGGCATGTTTGGTGTCTATTTACCCGACGTGACCCCGACTTTTATATCTTACCAAAATAATTGGGTAATAATAATTTTTTCCTAACGTAATGTTAAAAAAAGTGTTTCAGTAATTTGCCAAAAATATAGTAAAAAATAAAACCCCCAGTGGTGAATAAATACCACCAAAATAAAGCTCTATCTATCCCTAAAAAAAATGGTATATAATTAATTTCAGTACAGCGCTGCATGACGGAATAAATGTCAAAGTACCGCAGCGCTGAATACTGAAAAATGGCCTGGATGGGAAGGGGTATAAACACCCCGGTCAGCAACTGGTTAAGGAAAAATTCCCTGAATTGTTTTATAAATAAACTGTTTCCCCCATATTAAATGCTAAAACATTTATTATTACCCAATAATTGGGTAAAATATAAAAGACGGGGTCACGTCGGGTAAAAAGTCAACAAACATGTCAAGCCTTAAAATTGTGTGCGCGAAACCTCCACAAACTCTAATACCCAAAATTGGCCATAGGCGACGCTTTCAAAGCTTTTCCCGCTCAGCAGTTTAGTGTTATCAGTGATTGATGGCCCTAAAATGATTGCTCTCACTGCGACATTTGCGGCGATATGTTACGTGTGTAGCGCAATTGTCGATTTTGCGCGCTGGTGCACCGGACACGTATTTACGTTTATATGTGCGTAAACGTGGTGGTGGTGGACTTAAGAATTGTTGGGGGTTTTGTAAAACTTTTTTGATATGTTACTCTTTTTTTTCTAAATCTTTTTATGTGTTTTTACACTATAATGTGATTGCTATTATATAGCAAAGGCACACTGACAGGTCCTCTTTATGGAGACATTAGGGGTCTCCAAGACCCCTAATGTCACCTGGGGACCCCAAAATAAGCTGATGAAGCAGAGATCTGCTTTATCAGCTTCTTCTCTCTGGCAATAGCAGCCAGATGAATGACAGCTGAATGCGGAAATTATGTATTTACACATTACTTCCGCATTCACAGCACGGAGGATGGTTCCGCATTCACAGATCTCTTCCTGCCAGGGGCTCGAGATCCTCAGCAATAAGGTTGTAAAGCTCCATGATCCCCTGACGGTTCAGTCTAAACATGTCCTCCACATCGTGATCTGAAAGCTCATCCAGGACTCTGCGGGTCCTGTACACACGTGGTTTCCTGAAGCGAACATTCCCAATCCCTTCCTGGGTTACATGCACTGCAGCTGCTATGCATGCCACAATTGCTGCTGCCAAATCTACCTCAACAAACATAGTGAAGGAGTTGTGCTTCTTTTTCCTGGTCTGTCTATAAAGGAAGTAGGTTTATGACAAGTTCCTGTATCTTTGCTCAGTGCTTCACAAGAAAAAGGCCTTTATCACCAGGTCTGACAGGGTGCTAAATCAAGGGTACTTTTCACAATACTTATCCAGTGATAAAACTGTTCTCTACTTGACTTATCACGGGTTACTGAACACCATTTTCTAGACTTTTCACTTTGCTAAGGTGAGAAAAGCGTTCTCACTGCTTATCACACTCTTTCACAGTTTATTAAACGTACACCTTAGTCTTGAAAGCCAATCTATACCATCCATTATTTTTGATAATGAGGGCCCATGATAGTTGAAAATAAGACAAATGGCTAAGATAATAACCAATATGGCAAATTAAACACGAATTATGTTTTAAATTGTGCCTACAGCTGTAAAATTACAAATAAGGCTAACAGTTTGATTGGGGATCATAAAGTTCAAGAAGCAAATAAAATGCACTCGTATTGCCACTTTATTTATCAAATCCAGAGAGGAATGCCAAGTGATATTTCACCCAGTCCTATTAACCCCATGGGTGCTGTGTGACATAACCATCTTCAGCCTCTGGGATTTTCTTTATAGTATATCTGGAAGGGAAATTGTGCTGTCCATAGCATCCACTGTAATTTGTGTCATTGGTTAAGTTACCTCCTCATGTATCACTTGCCCCTCCCTTTTAGATTGTAAGCCCTCATGGGCAGGGCCCTCCTTACCATATTTTCTTGAATTGTATTGTGATTGTAAAGCGCTGCGCAAACTGTTGGCGCTATATAAATCCTGTATAATAATTTTATGATTTGATGTTCAGTGTTGCTTACATTGTTTTACTGATATAGCGTCTGCATCTGTCTCTCAGGTCTGCTGACCAGCCAAACAAAATGTTTAACTGAACCAATAATTACCCAGGTTACTGCGTGCCAACCTGAGATAACCTCCACCTTTGTCCTCAAATTCCCTGGTAACTTTTTTACTCAGTAGCAGGGCCGGATCAACTGATGGGATCGGCCGTGCTGCAAACACAAGAGACCAACGATCCACACCTTCTTTAATTTGGTAGTGTCTGTTCAGTTTATATGTATTTTTTTTTTCTTTATTTTTTCATTAATGTATTGTCTTGTACCAATTGCTGATATTCTGTATTGAGATGATGTTATTTCATTTTCTCTGTATTGTAAGTGTCTTGTTATATGTGTTAAAACCAATATATACTTACCTGTTAAAAAAAAACACAAACCCTGAGATTCCTTTGTGGGAAGAGCCTGTTCTCATTGCCCTCTTGTGATATCATTAAGCTCTCAGCTGACCAGCTAGAGTCTCAGTAAATGTGTCTCAAAATCTGCTCGTAACCAGCCAGATATTTTTACTGTACCCACATCCAATTCCCCTTGATAGAGGTCCCAACAATTGCATGATCTGGGATTAGTGTTGTCACTCACAACATGTGAACCTACTACTTGTGTGTTGGGTAGACAGTTTGAGCTCAGCATTTATTAAATTGTTCGTCATAGACCACTTTCCCTTTATGAATCTCCAAAAACACATATCTGCTAGTTACTAGTCTGTGACATTTATAGTTTCAGTGTCCAACACTGCCATAGAGGCACCATGAGGAAGAGCTAAATGTGTGTGTGTAAATGGAATCATCAGTATATTCTCACAATTTCTCCTGACCTGGCTTCATTAGATGAAGAAGTTCAATGAAGGGTATTCTCTCAGATATAGGTGCTCTCATGCATATCTGCTCATCTCCATCATGTAGGATCAGATCCACGATCTCCTGCATCCAAGTGGTCCCTGAAATCACATGTTCTCTCATCAAAGACCCAGACATACCAATCATTATTATATATACACACATAGATTGCTCTGGAGTATGCAACAGCTATCCTTGCAGAGGTTTCCCATGTAGGGAAAAATGATTGCAGGGCTACTCCCCTCAAAACTATACATTTCGAAGTTGGAAAGTATGGAGAGAGTTTCCTGTCCGGGGTTGTGGAGGGATTTTCCATGAATTACCCTCAGGTCTCATGCACCCCTCTCAATCTTCATTCCTTAGTATTCCTCTCTCTTTTCCTAAAAGTTACTATCAGTATCTGTTACCCCCCTCCTGGCTGGCTGCTCCCACCCCCCTTCCTTAGTATCACCTCTTCCATGTTCTGAGGCTCATCGTTCCAGAAGTCTACTCAACATATTCGCACTGTTCTGTCCTCCATCCCGTTTCTCAGCACTTTTTCACTCTTTTGTGCCAGCTCTGCTGCTTTCCTTAGTATCCTTAGTATCATCGGTGTCTGTAACCTCTGTGCCAGAGCTGCTCTTTTCCCCAGTGTCAGCAGTGTCTTCCTCCTCTGTGCCTGCTCCTTTCCCCAGTATCATCAGTGTCTTCCTCCTCTGTGCCTGCTCAGCTCCTTTCCCCAGTGCCAGCAGTGTCGTTCTCCTCTGTGCTCACTCTGCTCCTTTCCCCAGTATCATCAGTGTCTTCCTCCTCTGTGCCTGCTCTGCTCCTGTCATCAGTGTCTTCCTCCATTGTGCCTGCTCTGCTCCTTTCCCCAGTGCCAGCAGTGTCTTCCTCCGTTGTGCCTGCTCTGCTCCTTTCCCCAGTGCCAGCAGTGTCGTTCTCCTGTGTCTGCTCTGCTCCTTTCCCCAGTGCCAGCAGTGTCTTCCTCCTCTGTGCCTTCTCTGCTCCTTTCCCCAGTGCCAGCAGTGTCGTTCTCTGTGCTCACTCTGCTCCTTTCCCCAGTGTCTTCCTCCATTGTGCCTGCTCTGCTCCTTTCCCCAGTGTCATCAGTGTCTTCCTCCTCTGCTCCTTTCCCCAGTGTCATCAGTTTCTTCTCTGCTCCTTTCCCCAGTATCAGCAGTGTCTTTCTACTCTGTGCTCACTCTGCTCCTTTCCCCAGTATCAGCAGTGTCTTCCTCCTCTGTGCCTGCTCTGCTCCTTTCCCCAGTGCCAGCAGTGTCATTCTCCTCTGTGCTCACTCTGCTCCTTTCCCCGCTGCCAGCAGTGCTTACCATATTTTCTTGAATTGTATTGTGATTGTAAAGCGCTGCGGTGTCATTCTCCTCTGTGCTCACTCTGCTCCTTTCCCCAGTATCATCAGTGTCTTCCTCCTCTGTGCTCACTCTGCTCCTTTCCCCGCTGCCAGCAGTGTCTTCCTCCACTGTGCCTGCTCTGCTCCTTTCCCCAGTATCATCAGTGTCATTCTCCTCTGTGCTCACTCTGCTCCTTTCCCCAGTATCATCAGTGTCTTCCTCCTCTGTGCTCACTCTGCTCCTTTCCCCAGTGTCAGCAGTGTCTTTCTCCTGTGTCTGCTCTGCTCCTGTCATCAGTGTCTTCCTCCACTGTGCCTGCTCTGCTCCTGTCAGCAGTGTCTTCCTCCACTGTGCCTGCTCTGCTCCTGTCAGCAGTGTCTTCCTCCACTGTGCCTGCTCTGCTCCTTTCCCCAATGTCAGCAGTGTCTTCCTCCACTGTGCCTGCTCTGTTCCTTTTCCCAGTGCCAGCAGTGTCGCTCTCCTCTGTCTGCTCTGCTCCTTTCCCCAGAATCATCAGTGTCTTCCTCCACTGTGCCTACTTTGCTCTTTTCCCCTTGTATAATCACTGTCTTCCCCCACTATGCTCCTTCCCCTTAAGTGTCGCCCTCTTCTGCATCTGCTCCAATCCCCAGTGTCTTTAAGGTCTCCCTCTGCTATGCCTGTTATGTTCCTTAAATTCCACAAATGTGTCATCATTTAAACAGTGTTTTAGTTTGGGTTAGACTGGGAAAGGGTTAGAACTGGCAGGTTTTGACTGCTATGCAGGGGCTCCGTTAGCTGTATTTACCAACACTTCCTGTTTTGCTGACAGCTGTTTGACCAAAGTGTAAAAGAGAAAATATGCAACAGACAAATACAAATCTGACAGGGGTTCTAGCCTTCTAGCGACTAAAGTAAAATGTTTGATCAGTGGCTTTTGGAATGTTCCCCTCATCTCCTGCCTGATAAAACTTTGTCAGCAGGACTGGAAGTGAGGGAAAATCTCTGGGGCCCAGCTAGCAATAAAACAAAAAAAAAACCTTACAGGGGACCTAACACTTCCCCTTCTCTATCCACAACTTATAAAAAAGTTTTGCATGGGCATACACAAACTCTGTATGTCAGCATGTGATGGCTGGTGTAGAGTTCTACCAACACTTCACACAAGTGGAGTATGAACTTCCATTCTTGTCAGTAGGAGAGGGAGAACAGCAGCTTATGCATGTCTCTAGTCTGCTCTGTTGCTGCTGCCTTTTCTGGCCCTCTAAACCACAATTTAAACCGGTCAACTTCACTTTGCCTCCATGTATAGTGACCCGTGTAGCATTTATCTGGGTGCACATCTATGGTCCGGTCTCACAAATTCTTTTCTTCCCTTCACATCCATAATATGCTCCCACTAAGACCAGGTCCCTCTGACACTGGTCATGGACTATTTCACAGTGCCTCTCATAGTTCCTTCGGTCTTCATTCCACAGGTCCCACTTTCCTCCTCTGATCTCTGGACTTCATCTCATGACTTTCATAAAATCGACTTCAGACCTTCCGAAACATATTCTGGACGTCTCTTACCCTCTGCCAACTTTCAATCACATCACTCTACTGTCCTACTTTCCCTCATACATGAATCATCCAATCAAAACTAGAGATGCACTGAAATTGAATTTAGACCAAAACCAAAAATTATGTTTTTTTTAACCTTTCTAAACTATTTTATTTGTATTTACTTTTTACTTTACTGGGGAAATATCAGAGGTCTAAACAGAGCCCTGATATTTCACGTTTAAAATAGAAAATGTGAAAACAGAGTCCTAAATCTCTTTCTGCAGCCTCTGTTATGAACAGGAAGCCTCTACACTTAGTGCTCCTGTCAATTCATAAACTGGGTATATAGTATGAAATACTATGCCCACATTCATGATGTAGAACACTTCCTGTTCATTTATAACTGGGGACACAGGAAGCATTCTATGCCCTCAGTTATTTACAAACTCAGAGATAAGCTGATCATGGAGTGCTTGTAAGCCACTCTGCATCCTTCCTCCACCTGTCACAGGAGGCTGGGCAGGGTGATGCCCCATTCTATCCCGACTCCCTGCCTGTCACAGGAACCAAGCGGGAGGAGAGCTTAGAGTCTAGTGACAGCTGTCTGCCTCCTGCTCAGCATCCTGAAACCTTCTATCCTCCCTGCTGGGCACCAGTTTGTGTCCCCCTCTGCAGACACATGTGAGGGTGAGCAATGGGAATCAGAGGGGACACAGCAGGGAGGAGACAAAGTCAAAACGCACTGAATTTATGGCCGTTTGGGCATAATGCCGAAAGTACCATTTTTGGACGAAATTTCAGTGAATCCCCAATCAAAACCTAAATGTTGTGCTCCCCTATCTATAAGCCTCATATACTACCAAGTGTTTCCCAAACCTTCAGCAGCTCTTTATACAAAAAAAAAAACACCTCAAAATACAAATAAATGTGATATGTAAACATATTGCACTCATTAATATTTTGATGCATTTCCCCCCTATTGCGCCTAAGAGTGCGAAGACCACAAGATGTGTAGGGACAGAGCCCAAAAGGCAGGTAAGATCTCTGCTGTTAGCCCACTGAACTTACCTATAACTGAAACCACTTTAGGGTGGACTGTCCCTGTGGTGATCAATAGTTACATTTTAGAACAAAAGGCAATTAGCAGCATGTGCTGAAACCAAATACATGTTTTAGATAAAATGGTTGAAAATTTTGAAATGTAAACATCTTTATGAAATTCATAGAAGAAACTGCTCCACTGAATCCATAAGATGTATTCAGCAAGCAGTGTACACATCACATTGCCTTTTTGTTTCTCTATAGACTTTGGGTGTGGAAGTCAGAACAAGATCTTTGTGACTTCCATACTGAGGGGAGAGAAGCCAGCTTGGCTTGGAGAGTGGCATTGTTGTTTCTTCTTGTATTTTTATTTTGTTGCTTTCCTAGAGTCACAAAACATTTATATATGACAGAAGATTAGAGGCTTCACCCATTCCATGACCTGTGTCCTAGTTGAAACTGCTGAGAACGATGCAACATTAAAAAACTCACAATTGTCTGTGCCAAATGCTATTGATACAGATCCCAAGCTGCTTATTTCTTGCCCTATTCTATAAATTGACAACCATTTGTCTTCTCTAGAGGTCTCATTATAAAGAGTGCACTAAGGCTGGACACACAGCATTACGATTTTATTTAAATTTGGCCCATTAGAAAGATATACCATTACATAGAAAATGCAACAACCTTCTTAAGTTACCTATTCAATTTATATCCAATGGTGTCAGCCCTCCATACACAGTTATTCATAAAGTTCACTAAGATCTACTCCAATGTAAGATCAAAACTGCTTCGTGGTCACCTTTAGCTATGGGACAAATTAAAAGATTCTGGAGCTCTATGAAAAAAGCTCTACAAGTCTTCACTATACAGTATCAAGTATAAACCTCAAAGCATTTCTTCTATACTAAACCCTAAAATAATGGAGGTTGTGTACTGACCAGATTTGGGGTAAGTGTCTATTAAGATGTCTCCAGGTCTTGCTTGGAAGTTGTAGATTTGTTCCCAGTTTGCAGCAACAACTTCAGCCACAGCCATGCCCTCCACAACGGTTAGCTTGCCTGCCATCGTGATGCCACGTCAGCAAATACACACTCAGCAAATGCAGCCTCAACCCTGCTTTAGATTGTGAAGGGAATAAAAATCTCAGGGAAAGTTATAGCCAAAGAAAAGAGGGAGTGGCAGCCTGAAGCAAAACATACTTTCCTCTCAAACATTACTGATCCAGAAACTTGGCACAGGCACCCAATCTAGACTGAGAGGGAGAGGTGCAGTAATGGGATCGATGCTAAAGAATGAAAAGACCAAGAGTCAGTGGGAGACAGGCAATCATTAAAAGATCCTGTGAAAAACTATTTTTGTACTGCCCATTCAACTACATAGACCTGTACACAGTGTACTGATAAGATAGGTAATCTACATGTCACTAGGCCTAAATCCTTCCATAGTTCTTAATTCCCAGCTCGGGACTCTCTACAAGTTTAAAGACTCCCGGCGGCAAAAGTCACCGGGAGTCTGTTTAAACAGCCCCGATGCTGGCGACGTACACTGTACGTTGTCAGTCACGAAGGGGTTAAACAACCACTTCACTTCCAGTACAAACTGTCAAGACAGTAGAAAAAGAATTCTACATATCAGTCCAGCCAAGCAAAAAGTGAAGTAGGTGCTTACTATCCAGCACCACCTGGATACTAGAAACAAGGAGCATGGTTTGGTTGTTGAGAATTCAGCACCGAGGTCTACTATATAGTGAGGTCCCAGAACCTGGTCACACAGTAGAAATTGGATCCTACATTCCATAGGGCCCAGAGCAGCTGATTTTAGGTCAGCCTCTACTTGGATGGGTGAATAGAATGCCAGCCATAAACAGGAAAATGTCTCAAAAAACAGAAAAAGGGGCAGTGAGCATATGATCACCTGACTCCTGAAGCAATCTTCCCTTTGAGACAACCAGAATCTCCTGAGCCCAGGATTGGCCCTACGTCTATGCTTGCCATCCAGCTGCACAAAGCATTTGGAGTTTCAGACATGAACATTAATCCACAAATGAATCCTCAGCAGATCAGATATTGTCCTGATCCCACAAGCCATGCTACATCTCAGCCACAGTGTGCAAATGTCAGCGTCAAAAGTGGATTGCTGAGAAAACCGAGCCTTGTAAACTGGAGATTAGTTCCGAGCACTTTATGACCAGTTTTGATAGCTTGGTCCACCCAATTTGGTGAGTGCAGTTGAAATCAGTGGTGTGGCACACGTTTGGGGAGAGGCGTCACTGGAAGAAAGCTATATGCACTTCATGGGGAATATTTATGCACCTTAATATGGAGTATTTGGGGAGTCTTTCACAAAGGGACTTTAATTATTTTAGCTGAATGCATCTGTAGTATCTATTTATATCAGGTGTAATTGTGAAGCACAATTTACTTATTGATATTTACACTTATTCTTCCATCTATTTTGGGACACCAAATAATTAACACTTAAGATTTACTGTTAGCAGAGGAGTCTGTTGACAACTTGAAATGCTAGCACTACCAAATCCATCCAATACAACCACAATACTCAAACACCTCATAAGTACTTGCCTGCTGACCCCGTCTGTACTGAACCCAGATAGACTACACATCTCATTCCTGAATGTCAAGTGAATCCGAGGCATTGCAACAGAGGCAAATACAGAGCTGGTTTTAGTGTGTTCCCAGAGTACAAGGTTACCAACTCTAGAAGGGAATTCCAAATCTGCATACAAACCAGAAATCTGCTGCCATCTGCTGGGAAACCAAAGCATCGCAGCCCTACATTTCTCACAGAAAGTAATGTGAATATCAACCTTTCTATGCAGCTTCCATCACAAAAACACAGATGTACAATTCCAGACTTGCTTCCGTCAAGAAACTATGATGGAAATATGGGACAGAGCTCCGACTCCTCCCAAAATGCTACCTGCCTGGCTATCAAACCACTCTAGTCACTTCCATACTGGGGAGTAAAGACCCACTGACTTAACTTGCTGGGTGCTTGTTACCAGTCCGTACACAGGTCCGTAGCAGCCAGGCAAGTAACATTTTCAGGAGTGCAGCCTCCATATTTCTGTGGTCTGGAAATGACAGAAGCATGGAGCCAACTGTTCAAACATTCACACATCTCAAACGTTGTAAATAAAAGCAGTCTTTGAACTTTGAGGAAGTTTCTTTATTATGTACAGAACAGAAGTGTAACGCCCGGTACATTTAGCCCAGTTTGGTGGCCAGTTCTCTGGCCTTTGCCTTCTCCAGCTTAGCAATTCTAGCCACAGACTTGGGTCCGAGGATTCCTCCGCCCCAGTGACGACGGATCTGCAGAAAATGGAGTATAAATTCTCATACATATTGAATTCAAATGAAGAATAATATTACATACAATAACCAAGAATCTAGAGGGTATTTTAGGACACCATAGGCACAGATAAAAACCGGTCAGGTTTTTTTTTGTCGTCTATTCCCTTAGTGCATTCGAACTGGTGGCTATTGGGTGCTGGGACTGAGTGATGGGAAATGGAACATTTTGAGTTGTCCCCAGAAGAGGAGACTTGTTCAGGGGACTTTCTGCACTTGAGGGGTCTCCTCTAGCTTTCTTGTCTTTAGATATACTTTATCAGAATACAGGAGCCAGAAAAGCAAAAAACTGTAGGGAAGATGTGCGCCATCATTGGCATGCAATATCTGAAATGCTGGTTGACCAAGCTTAGTTTGAGTTATTCACCAAACACATTAGCAGATTGGGTGTGCTAATGCCACTGACTTCCCCGACTGAGTACTTGTTCCTGGTCATTAACAGCCAGGCAACTATTCTTTAAGGCATTCTCTGCATTAAAGGTAATAAACACCCAGCTACCGCCAAAGCATCCCACCCACTTACCCACCCATATGCCACTTCCACCGCCGCTGGCTCCCGAATGATCTGTGGTGTGTCCCCAAAGTTCCGGGTTGAGAAGAGGGATCCAGAGGCCACTGAAGGCAGGACAGCGATAGGCTGCTGCACCTGTCTGTCAAGATGCTGAGAGGAGGCGTGGCTTGTTAAGTGGTGTGCGTCAATGGACGCACAGCACGGCTCGATGCCCAGTAGGGAGCACACACACATGGGTGTCTCCTTTGCAACCTGCTAGGCAAAGGAGGACCCCCGTAAACGGGAGGGGGGCCACAATACACCCTTTGAAAAATTAAAATGGGCGGGATAAAAAATTAAAAGCTACACAAGTACATTAGGATAGTGAAATATATTGTTTTACAGAATTTTGTTGCAGTCCGATGAAGGGGAAATTTTGAGTGCTTGCTTTTAACAAAATGGCTTCTAAACTTCTTACTGATGGCTTGGACCTTTCCAACCTACATTCCAAACGGATCCAAGATGAGAGCCAATGCATGATTTCATCCTCCAGAGCTTCCCATTACTCCAAAATATTGGACCCATTAACCAGGACATCTACCTGGACTATGTGATCTAGCTCCCCACATTCCTTTTTCAATACTTTGAGGAAGACACTGACCAAGTACTGCCATGCCCATAGCACAGGGGGAGGACAAATATGGAAGAGGCAGCAGGATTTTTTCCCCCTTTTTTGAGCCAACTCCACCAACACCTCAGAGAAAGCCCTCTAGTTAGGTAACCAGCTATAATTTTTGGGAAGCACTGGCTACCAGGCTGCTGGGATTAGTTCAGCACTTTCATTGCATCAGCACAAATCTGTATGAAGGGGAGCAATTACCAAGTATTTGGAAGTTACAGCTTCGTTCTCCACCAGGACATTTCATACACAGAAAGCAGAAGAGCAACCAAATTTTAATTTCTAAAACCTGAATCCCTCATATATGAGCAATCCCCCCAGCTCCAGGAGGATCTAAAGACACCTTTAAGTTAGTAAGGGAAAGGAAGGTCATCTTGATGGCGATATTTACACACTATAGTGAGGGTGACTATTCATTTAACTTGTCATTTACTTGGTTATTTACTATTAGCACTACTGATACAGATATAAAAACTTTATTATTAGGGGGGACAGTTAGCACATTTTTTAAATTCACATATCAATTGTGGGTATTTCCCTAGAGGGGAAGCTTTGCATGATTAATAGTTGGGCGTTGCACAGGTTTATGCAATACTTTTGTTTGACATATAAAAGCTCAGAACACATTTTTTTTAGCACAGGGGAGGGTGAGCATAGATTGTATATATTGCATTGTAATAGAGCCTCTCTTTATAGGTGGTTGGGTATTCATACAGCAGCTGGTTACTATTCTATAGCTTTAGGAAGCTGAAACTTAAGTCATGTTCCAGTGTGCCATGATTACGTTGGAGGTGCTTTCTCCATCATGCATGAACAGCTGCCCCCAGAACAAAAACCCTCGCTGGCTGGCAAGAGCAGGAGAGACTTGAGACCTGAGCACCTTCAGGTGACCAGTGAATCTAAAACTGCAACATTCATAAAGCAGTAAAATATTTCAGAGCCAAGGACAATTCAGAAGATGTAGTGGAATACCAGAGATTTTCCTGCATCAATACTTCCTGTCTGTAGCACAATATACATAAAGAACACATGTTCCGTGATCAGATCCCAACCTGATAATGTTCTTGAATAGGTGTGAGGGGCCATTAACTAAAAGTCCTTTATATTATTATTTACACCTCTGACAAGAAGTAAAGCTTGTCCATTTAAAACTAGGAGGGAAGCAAATGTGTTTTTAGCCATTCCAGTAACAGACCAATGTGCACAGCAGCCACGACAGATGAGAAACGCAAATTAAACCCATCTCTTACCTCATCGTGTCTGTCGTTGTAGTTGGTCTTTACAGCTTCTACCAGCTTGGTGAGAGCTCCCTTGTCCTCACTGGAAAAGAAAAAAAAAAAAGTGAGTGGTGGTCTATAAAACAAATGTACAAGTAGAGCACCAATCCTTGGCTGCTCAGGGTTAAAAAGCTCTTAAGGCCACATGGTGACATTTCAGCTGAAGAAATTCAAGTTTCATCATTGCCAAAAAGGTGCAAAACTACTGAAGCAAGATGGCAGATACTTACGGGTTGACTTGTGTCAAAGCAATGCTGGTGCAGGTCTTTCTGTGCACCAAGCGGCCCAGTCTGGCTTTTCCCTTGATTATGCAGTAGGGCACTCCCATCTTCCGACACAAGGCAGGAAGGAAGACCACCAGCTAGAAGACACAAAGATAAAAGAGTCTGCTCTAGATGACCAGAACAAGGCAGACTGCCTAGGAGGCAATGGCTATGATTGCTCAGGGTTAAAAAGCTCGAAATTTACTCGTCACAGTAGAATCAGGTGAAGAAATTCAAACATCATTGCAATCTATGATCTATAGTTTCTGAAGAAAATATACAGCTAAGCTAACCAAACATGAAATGTTCAGTCTCCAGGACACAGAATTGAAATTAGCCCCTTTACAGCCACTAACACTGATGTAACAAAAGGTAGGAAAAAAAAAATAAGCGAGGGGGAGTTTAGATGCCGTGCGGCTAATACCGTAATGGGTGAGTGTTTACATTTAAATTGAGATGCCGTACTGATCAACAATCATTACTCCCAGAATCAGTCTGCTTTGATTTTTAAATAAAATATAGCTAAAAGTAGACTTTCCATCCTGCGGACCTTACCATTGGAATCATTGATGCAAGGTGACCACTATCCCTTAATAACATTTTCTCAAGGATGACTAGCTTCTGACAGCACTTTGACTTACTATCAACATACAACTGGCAGCTAATCAGACTACACCACATATTTGCAGCACTGGTCTATAGATATCTGTGCATGGTGACTGAACTATTACAAAGTTTGAACAGCTCAGAATAGTACCGCAATGCTATACACACCTCGATAGGATCCACATCATGAGCGATCACCACCAGTTGGGCTTTCTTGTTCTCCACCAAAGTGGTCACCGTGTTGACACCTGAAAAGATTGACACTTGTCAACTGAGCACATATTAGGAGGACCTGGTACCTGGAATAGCAGTCAATGCTCAGGGTTAAAAAGCTCATTTTAAATCCACACAATTTGTTCAGGTGAAGAAATTCAGACATCATTGCAGTGACAAACTCGAACAGACGGCATCCTACTCACAGCCACATACCATAACCCACCTGCTCTGATGACCGGGGGTCTCTTGGTAGGGACATCTGGTTTACCAGCAGCTTTCTGCTCCGCACGAGCCAGCAAACGTTTCTTCTTCTCTTGCTTGGTCTCCGGCCTGTATTTGTGTGCCAGTTTAAAGAGCTGAGTGGCTGTAGGAGAAGAAAATAGTCAGCCTACATTCATATCAGATGGCCCCTTAGCTGTAGGTCACAGTCTGTGCATCAGTGATCTTGGTGGAAGAGTGTAATCACAACTCTCAGATAGCAAATAGTACTCATCATTTGCACAGCACCAACTCAAAACCCACCAGCCAACATCTGCTGCATAAATAAAACTGAGAATCAGACATGTGCCAAGACTTCCAAGCAGCTAGCCTGAAAGAGTACACAGATGAGGAAAGTCTGAAGTCTTACATGCTTACATGTTCTGTGTCAATATATTGAATCGAGGAGTTCGCACCACAGCTAAAAAGTCTGCAATGGCAAGCCCACTAGAGCTGCAACAACTAATCGAATAAAATTGATAATAGTTGGCAACTATTCCCATCAGATTAGTTGATTTTGGATTAGTTGCTGGCAGCGGAGGATTTCAGAGTCACCGGCTGCAGTTTCTTCTCCCTGCTGGTGCTGGCTGCAGGGGTCTGTGTCCCTTTCACAGACCGCTGTAGCCGGCACGAGAGGGAAGAGACTGCGGCCGGTGACACTGAAATCCCCCGCTGACCCTCCGCTACTGCTCCGTCCTTCAAGACAGTTCAGTGTTACAAGTGTCTGCTCCTTTTAGTTATATAAAAGGTTCTGTGTGTTCACAGGGGAGAAGAGAAGCCATAAATCTTGACTACACACAGAACGGACCTTCCCTTCTTTAACAGCGAAAACGCCTGGGTAGATCTGGTGAGGGCATTATTAAACAAATAAGGAGCACGGATAGCTGACAGATCTATAACCAAAAGGAAAACAGGTTAATCAAGTGGAAAAGGAGCAGACACTTGTAACAATTACCAGCCTGCTATTGGATATTTTAAATTGCAATAGCCAAAAGCAAACTGGCTATTGCACCCGCTCACTGCCTGCAGTCAATCAGCAGAGGAGGACCTGATGGAGAACTTTCTCCTTCAGTTCCCTCCTCTGCTGATTGACAGCAGGCTGGTGCAATAGCCAGCCTGCTATTGCAAACTGAAATATCCAATAGTAGGCCTCAGCAGCTGAATCCAGTGATCTGGAGAGGTGACACTAAGGGTCTAAAAGACACTTAATGTTACCTTAAAGAGAACCTGTCACCTCCAATGTGCCATCAGATAGGGGGCTTGTGAGCCCCACCATCAGATAGCAATGAGGTAAAAAATACATTTAAAAACCCTTCTCAAAAAAAAAAAAAATACAACGCACGTATACTAACAGAAACACAAGTCAGTTGCACCTACATAGAAAAACGACAACTGCACTACACGTCAGGTATCGCCGCATATTTGATTTAATATTTTTTTTTATTCCAACTAATCAAAGTTAATTAGCTAACTAATCTATTATGAAAATAATTGTTAGCTGCAGCCCTAAAGCCCAGAAAAGGTTTCCAATAATAGAGACAGGAGCCAGGGTGCTGCTAGACCGAGAAGTCCGCACTCCTGGCTCACATCTCAGGCAATGATGCCTTTAAACCACAACTGCCAGATGGGTAGCATTTTCAAAACTAGACTTCAGCAAAGGCAGTCCAATTTCTCCACGCATCCCCTCGTCTTTTCTACAGCTCTCAGAGGAATCCCGTGTACTTAGCTACCAACATCTGATGTAACCAAACCCTCATCCCAACACCCTCGGTCACCTGTCTGTCGGTCCAGAGCCTGGGTGAACTGGTTGATTGCTGGTGGAACCTTCAGGCGTTTGTACAGGATGGATCGCTGACGCTGAAGCCTGATGTAGCGAGGCCATTTCACGAAGCGGGTGAGATCTCTTTTGGGTTGGATGTCTTGGCCTGTAGGAAACAAAACCAGGAAGCGAGATCAGTGTGGAGCTACTACTGTACTTTCTAGGACGACAGAAGCACTCCTCAATGTTGTCAAAACTAAATGCAACACTACAACGCCAGAATTATGCAGAGCATCTCTGACACGGATTGTGCTCAGTGAGCAGCACACAGTATGCAAGACTATACTATGGACTCCCCGCCAAATACATTTTACATAGGCTGACACTACCAACTGTGCACTATGGTCACCTAGGATTACAGGCCTCTCACTTACCAATGCCGAAATTCTTAGGCCTCTTCTCAAACAGAGGGTTCACCACCTTCTTGGCTTCAGTCTTCTTGACCACGGAAGGGGCCGGAGCCACCTTCTTCCCCTTGGCCTTCTTTCCTTTGGGCTGGTGGAGAGAACAGAAAACACTTAGTACAAGGACGGCACACCGACCTATCAGGAGCACAGCTCCCACAGACGCATCAGTGATCTTGGTGGATGAGTGTAATCAGAGATCAGATAGCAAATATTGTGTCATCATCTGCGTCTTTAGGGAGCCAACACACAGGGGGAGCACACCAATACATTCCTACCCAACAGACAAGATGGGGAGCATCATCCCACTGCTCTGACAGTATACAGCACCACATGGATGTCAGGCAAATGGCATGGGGTTATTTAGATGTACAATAATCAATGTACTGCAGAAGGAACAGAGAGGAAAGAGCAGATAAAGGGAATGAGAGAGAATCAGTGAAGTACATACATACACTTACATCACAGGGCCTCAACACATACTGCCACCATATACAAGGCATGGATCACTGCAAAAGCACGCAGAAGGGACGGACACAGAAGAGGAAGGATAGGCGGCACATTGTATAGACACACGAACACTACATACATACACAGAGTATACACACTATAGAAGGTGGGGAGAGATGACTGGGCGCCGGTAATCACAGGAAACACACAGCCGGCACACAGTGCGGCCGGACCGACATCCCGGTGCAGAGAAGGATGATATATCATTCTTATAGCGGCACCGTACTCCCGTCATATCCCCGCCACTCTGCAGGAGATCACCATGGAACACAACAGCCCAATGTTGAACTCCGGCCCGGGCTCGATGATAAAGGATGGAGGCAGATAGAGGAGGCCACAGAACAGCACCGCACTCACCATGGCGGACGGGGGAGAGAAAGGAAGAGGGAAGAATTCTGGGTAATATAAGTATCCTGGACCGGATGACGCGAGATTTCACCTACATCACAAGGAAGAGCGCCATCTAGCGGCGGATGATAGAAACAACAACGCTAGCTCCACTGCTGGGTCTTGCTTATGATAACGAGCGCCATCTAATGACGAATAAGTGGAAGAGCCGTTTGGAGACAACACTAAGCTGTGCTACTCTCAGGTCGTGTATGTTATCAGGGCAGATGTTACAATGGGAGGGGCCCGGCCGGTGACATCACAGCATCATCTCCCTTCAACTCGCTACCTGAGCGACCTCCTTAATGTCTCTTTGCCCCGCCTGTTCCTGTGAGGTAATCAATCAGCGCGGAGAGGGCGTAGTTTTGAGTTGTGAATTTGGCTGTGGTCGGCGGATAGACAATATACGAGGTTTGTGTGGCGAGAGCGGTACGGGGTGTAGGGACTATGGAGGGGAGAGAGATATGGAGGCCTGATCAAGGCAATGACATCTCTGATACTGGAGAGCAGCATAGATGAGGAACTACAAACACTGTCCAGGGCACCTCTCTGCTCCCCCCAAAGTGTATGAATAGAGCCTATCTTCAGAACAAGGTCAGCTCACCCCATCACAGTGTGCTGGCATTCATCCTTAATGGCACCCCAGGCACCTTGCAGCGTTCGGTAACCCATTGCCATGCAGTGTTGTGTGCTGTATTCACTTGAATTGGCTGCCGCAATTCATGTGTTGGGCCCTTTCACACTTCCATGCTGTGGTAACAAGTATAACATTCATTGCAGTGACATTTATTTTGAATGGCACCCCAGTGCATTAAGTGCCTGTTCACACGACGTCCCTTTTGTGTGCTGACCGGCTCCGTACGCTGCTGCACTCCAAAATGCATCCCAATGTATCCCTATGTGTTTTATGGGCTACAGTTCTCATGTGCGCAGTCCATTCAGCTTACGACAGAAAAATACTGCATGTCACATTTTGTACGGTCAGGATATGCAAACGCGTCAAACGCGCTGCAGCTAACATACTAACAGCCCCACTCCGCGTCTGCTGATCCTGACCTGATCAGGACCTGAAACTCATGTGAACAGGCCCTAAGGCAGCACACCTGCATTGTAGCGGATTGCGCTAGAAAAAAGGGTCATGTGACTTTAAGCATGTTAGAGTGACTTGGCATGCCATTCATTTTGAACAGGCTGCCTTAATGCAATGCATGTTAATGCACCGTGTTAAGTAGAGCATTAGATGCATGGGCTGACACCACATAACAGTGTGAACAGGCCCTGAATGTTGCTGCATACATGTGGTGTCAGATTGATGGTCCTCTCCGAGTGTAATGTTAGCCAGCTTCAGTGGGAGGAAAGACTTCCCCCCGTTTCAGCAGGAGGATACAATGTTCTGATGTCCGTGGGGGTAAAGAGCTTCAGCTGTAGGATACAATGTTCTGGTGTCAGTGGGAGGAAAGATTTCCCCCGGCTTCAGCTGTAGGATACAATGTTCTAGTGTCAGTGGGAGGAAAGAGCTTCAGCTGTAGGATACAATGTTCTGGTGTCAGTGGGAGGAAAGACCCCCCCCAGCTTCAGCGGGAGGATACAATGTTCTGATGTCCGTGGGGGGTAAAGAGCTTCAGCTGTAGGATACAATGTTCTGGTGTCAGTGGGAGGAAAGAGCTTCTATGCCATTCATTTTGAACAGGCTGCCTTAATGCAATGCATGTTAATGCACCGTGTTAAGTAGAGCATTAGATGCATGGGCTGACACCACATAACAGTGTGAACAGGCCCTGAATGTTGCTGCATACATGTGGTGTCAGATTGATGGTCCTCTCCGAGTGTAATGTTAGCCAGCTTCAGTGGGAGGAAAGACTTCCCCCCGTTTCAGCAGGAGGATACAATGTTCTGATGTCCGTGGGGGTAAAGAGCTTCAGCTGTAGGATACAATGTTCTGGTGTCAGTGGGAGGAAAGATTTCCCCCGGCTTCAGCTGTAGGATACAATGTTCTAGTGTCAGTGGGAGGAAAGAGCTTCAGCTGTAGGATACAATGTTCTGGTGTCAGTGGGAGGAAAGACCCCCCCCAGCTTCAGCGGGAGGATACAATGTTCTGATGTCCGTGGGGGGTAAAGAGCTTCAGCTGTAGGATACAATGTTCTGGTGTCAGTGGGAGGAAAGAGCTTCAGCTGTAGGATACAATGTTCTGGTGTCAGTGGGAGGAAAGAACTTCAGTGGGAGGATACAATGTTCTGATGTCTGTGGGGGTAAAGAGCTTCAGCGGGGAGGATACAATGTTCTGATGTCAGTGTGAGGAAAGATTTCCCCCGGCTTCAGCTGTAGGATACAATGTTCTGGTGTCAGTGGGAGGAACTTTTTCCCCCGGCTTCTGCTGTAGGATACAATGTTCTGGTGTCAGTGGGAGGAAAGAGCTTCAGCTGTAGGATACAATGTTCTGATGTCAGTGGGAGGAAAGAACTTCAGCTGTAGGATACAATGTTCTGATGTCCATGGGGGTAAAGAGCTTCAGCGGGAGGATACAATGTTCTGGTGTCAGTGGGAGGAAAGAGCTTCAGCTGTAGGATACAATGTTCTGATGTCAGTGGGAGGAAAGAACTTCAGCTGTAGGATACAATGTTCTGATGTCCATGGGGGTAAAGAGCTTCAGCGGGAGGATACAATGTTCTGGTGTCAGTGGGAGGAAAGAGCTTCAGCTGTAGGATACAATGTTCTGGTGTCAGTGGGAGGAAAAAACTTCAGCTGTAGGATACAATGTTCTGATGTCAGTGTGAGGAAAGATTTCCCCCGGCTTCAGCTGTAGGATACAATGTTCTGATGTCCATGGGGGTAAAGAGCTTCAGCGGGAGGATACAATGTTCTGATGTCCATGGGGGTAAAGAGCTTCAGCGGGAGGATACAATGTTCTGATGTCCATGGGGGTAAAGAGCTTCAGCGGGAGGATACAATGTTCTGATGTCCATGGGGGTAAAGAGCTTCAGCGGGAGGATACAATGTTCTGATGTCCATGGGGGTAAAGAGCTTCAGCGGGAGGATACAATGTTCTGATGTCAGTGGGAGGAAAGAGCTTCAGCTGTAGGATACAATGTTCTGGTGTCAGTGGAAGGAAAGCGCTTCAGCTGTAGGATACAATGTTCTGGTGTCAGTGGGAGGAAAGAGCTTCAGCTGTAGGATACAATGTTCTGGTGTCAGTGATCAATACAAGGATACAATGCCCCAGCATTGGTGGTGGTACATATATTATTTGTATATATAAATACACTTCACCGTTAGACTGAGGCAACCACTGTTAGACTGAAGCTTGGTTCATGAGAGACGATGATTTTGTTCGAATCCTGGGGCAAGTCCGCAGAACTCAGGATGTGTTGGGGGGGGTGTGTTTATGTGGGGTGATGTCATAACGCTCCTCTCTGCTTTTCCAGTGACATCATGTCTCAGCAGCGGGCTTTACCTCAGAGTAAGGAGACTTTGCTCCAGTCCTACAACAAGCGACTAAAGGACGATGTTAAGTCCATCATGGACAATTTCACCGAGATCATCAAAACTGCTCGGGTGAGTATTTCACCATCTCAGTAAATAAATGTTAAAGCAGAACTCCAAGCAGATAATAAAACACAAAGCCAATATATGCAGCTATCTGTTTAATATCAAAATCATTTACTGTGTATTTAAAAGCAACTTGTTTATGTATTTGACTTGGCATCAGCCTCCTGCTATCACTTGTGCAGCAGAGCTCATACCTAGAGAGGAATGGACCGCAATGTGATCCAGTCAGGTGTGCGGCAGTTTTCATGTGCTAATGACACACATACTGATAGGAGGAGAGAGCAGACTGGTGGAGGGTAAAGCTCATCAGTCTACTGCTTCTCCTTTACTGTTTACTCATAGGCTGGGGGTAGTGAGAAGATCTGGTTTTATACCTAGGTGCAGTAGAGAAAGGTCAGGTGACCAGGATGCTTCTTATATTGTATAAGATGTATATTTGAATGGAAACATTGCTGTGAAGCCACCAAACGCAGTCAGTATCATATCCGCTATTTGTCAGATAGTATAATGCTCTCTTTCTGTGCTGCAGACTGTAATCTCTGAGGGGGAGTGAAGGTAAACCTGGCAGCTAACCCCTCCCCACCAACTCCATACAAAACTATTACAAAGGTTTTGACTGTTCTAGAAACAAATGTAGAATGTATCTGCTTCTATGTTTTCCAGATTGAAGAAGAACATCAAGTCTCACGCTCAACTCAAGGAGAGCAGGATAATTATGAGATGGATGTCCGAGCTGCTAACATAGTAAGTATGGCAGGCAGTGGTAGCTGGTGGTGGGAATATTCATCATTGCTGAGGATATGGGGGGACCCTAGATCAGGGGTAGGCAAACTCTAGTTGAAACTACAAATCCCATCATGTATCTGCCTCTGGGAGTCATGCCTGTGGCTGTCATAGTCTTGCAATGCCTAATGGAATTTGTAGTTCCACAGCAGATGTCTACCCCTGCCCTATGTAATGGCCTATCAAATACCTGTAATGCCAGCCGAATAACATTCTATGATTAGAGTGGGTCACAGCACTCACCACATTAAAGGAGGAAGAAATTTTATTAACCCTTGCAGTGGGACTACCCCCACACTAGAAGGGTTAGCTACTTGTTTGTGCCTAGGGTAAAAAAAAAGTTATACTCCTTCGAGCTGGCCAGCTCTTGGACCAGTCCCTAGAGCAGGAGTGCCCACAAGCTCGATCGCGATCTACCAGTCGATTGCGTAGCGGGAGAGCAGGGGGGATCCATGGGAGAAGCTGAGCCCCCGTGTGCGTGGCCGAGCGGCAGAGGATCAGTACATATCAGTGATATGTACAAATCCTCTGTGCAGGACAAACACTGGAGCGATCAGCTGATCACTCCAGTGTTTGTAAATAACTGGGGACACATAGTACTATGTGTCCCCAGTTATAAATGAATGAACAGGATGTGATTTACATGAGTTTCTCAATGGGGAGAAGCACTCACTACAGAGGCTCCTCCCCATTCAGAAACTGGATGATAGTACATAGTTTCTGAATGAATGGAAAGCCTCTGTGCTTTCCATTCATTTAGAATAGAGGCTGCAGAAAAAGAGATTGAGGACTTTGTGTCCTCAATTTCTTTTTCAATTGAAAAGGGAAAAATCAGGAGGCTGTTTAGACCCCTAATATTTCCCCGAAGCC